GGAGAGTTTGCCCTCTTGTGCAGGTTCATTCTTGAGTTCAGGTCAAGCCGGGGACCGGGTTCGAGCTTGGTTCGTGAAATAGCGTTGTGCAATTCTTTGCATAAACACACTCGACACCAAGAAAAGATACGATGACGCCAGAATCAAAATGGGCACATCTTCCCTCCCAACCAAAACCGGCACAAATGAAACCTCAGAGACCAACTGAAAAAGATTGGCCGACCCCCGAGACCAGCTCGACAAACCATCGGGAAAAAGAAAATAAGCAACCTTTGTCCGGGACAAGCTTACAGCATCATGGATAATCCAATCACCAAACCTCGGATAAATCGGACCCTTCGGAAGCCAAGCGTCGTGCCAAACAAAACAACGCTGACCATCTCCAATCGCAAACTGAACCAAAGGTCGAAAAGCATCCCAGACAGAAAGAATATCCCGCCAACACCAAGAGAAGCAAGGCGAAGCACGAATGGTCCAAATACAATCCCCTCGAATAATATAGGTCTCCACCCAAGCCACCCAGAAAGAACCAGCCTGCATATAGAGCAGCTATAGCAGCTTCATTATAGCAGCCGAATTCCAAGCAGCCAAGTGACATACACCTAACCCCCTTCCCGCAACGGAATACACACCTCAGACCACGCTACCTTAGTCCCTGACCGCCCCCTCTCACGTCCACAAGAAAGAATACAGAATCCGCTCAACATCATCGACAACTCGAGCTGGAAGAAGAAACACACTAGCCCAATAAACCTGAAACTCTATAAAACCGACCAAATAAGTTGCAACTGGCCAGCAAAAGAAAGTATCCGAGGCGACCAACTCCGAACACGAGAGACAATTCGCTCAAGCAGAGGCTGACAATCACAATAAGTGAGCCGTCACAAAAGGAGCGAAATCCCAAGATAACAAACAGGAAGCGAACCCACCGAAAAACCTAAGAAAGCCGCCAATTGCTCTATTTCAACATCAGGAAGACCCGCCCCAAAAAACGAGCTCTTCCAAGTATCCGCGACAAGCCTCACCAATTCTCAGAAAGATGCCAAAACATCCTTAACAAAGGATAAAGAACTAAGATCCCCATGAGAGAAGATCATCAGGTCATCTGCGAAACATAAATGAGTCAGACCAACCCTATCACACTTATGATGAAACCGAAAACCCGACGGCGGCTTTTCAACATTCGGGACAATACCTCCATGACCATAACAAAAAGATACGGAGATAGAGGATCTCCTTGACGCAAACATCGACGCCTAGGAAAGTACCCCTCAAGTGCACGATTCAAAGAGACCGAGAACATGGGGGAGGTAATACAAGCCCGAACCCAATTCACAAACCGGAACAGAGTCCCAATAGCCAATAAAAGGCCAAAGAGAAAATCCCAATGAACATAATCATAAGCCTTAGAAGATCCACATTTAGAACACACTGGGGAACTCCCCTATTCAAATGATAACCCCCGACAAGCTCCTGACATAACAAAATATTGTCCATAATATGACGCCCTGGCACAAACGCAGACTGATTTTGCTAATAAAACTAGGGAGCCAAACCTTCAAACGATTCGCCAGTAACTTCGTAATGCACTTATAAAGTACATTACAACAGGAAATAGGGCGAAAATCCCCTAGCCTTGAGATGCTATGAGCCTTAGGAATAATAAACGTAACCGACGTCGCATTCACACCAAGAGGCAAGAACAAGGTGTCAAAAAAGTGCAACACAGACCAGCAGAAATCATTCCCCACAACATTCCAGGCTGCTTTAAAAAACCCCACTGGAAAACCATCAGGGCCAGGAGCCTTCCCATTACTCATAGAAAACAAGACACCCTTAACCTCCAAAGCGATCATCGGACGACACAAATCAGTGCAACACTCAACCGGCCAAATAAAATCAAGAATTCCCACAAGCTGATCAGTCAAATCACGATAGCCCACAGGCTCAGACCCTAAGAGATCATGATAAAATTCGAGCAATCTCAGAACGGTCAGTAACCGTTGACCTGCATCATCAATCAAAGAAGCTAACTCATTCCGAACAACCCTGCCTCGAACACTCCAATGGAAAAAAGCAGAATTCTGATCACCCAGAGAAAGCCACTAGACTTAAGACTTCTGACGAAGCGACACCTCCTCTTTCCCAACCCAAGCCTAGAACTCCTTCACCGCCAACCTCTCCTCCCCCTGAGCAGAAAAAGACAACGGGTCACTCAGCAACATCTCTTGGGCTCCATTCGAGCACACGCCTCATGAACACCCTTCTGAATAACACTTAAAGGATGACCCAAACGAGCAACACAGGCTTAAGCGCTCTGAGATTATAGTAGAAGCTCAAAATGGGTGAAACCTGTGGAAACGACTTCCAAGAAGCTCGAATAGAAGGAAGAAATTGTGCATCGGCAACCCAATGGTAAAGAAACCTAAAGGACGGTCGCCTCCTCGGAATAACGACACCCATAGAAAACACAAGATGGCAGTGATCAGAAACACCCCACCCACGAACCTGAACCTAAAAAACAGGAATGGTGTCAACCCAGGCTGAATTGACCAAAACACGATCAAGCCGCTTCAGAATCAAACCAGTTCCCAACTGCCTATTCATCCAAGTAAACCACGGTCCGGACACACGAGGCTCAACAAGATCAGCCTGCAGCAACGTCTCGTCGAACCATACCATTTCTGTCATATCTGGATTACCACCCAAAACCTCCGACAAACTACGAATAACATTAAAATCGCCCATAACCACTCCAGGGCCAGACCACCATGAACAAATAGGCACCGAAGAGTCCCAAAGCGAAGCCTGCTCTGAAGGAGAATTCGTTGCATACACACAAAGAACCTGAATCGAAATCTGAGAGGCCCTGTCTAGGATCACCCCATGCACGAACTGAGAAGAAAGCGCAAGCAAAGTAAAAGCATAACGGCCCGGACGCCACAACACCCAAATTCACCCCAGATCAGAAGAAGAATAACTGCTCACACACTGCCAATGACCCTAAAAGGGTCGAAAAATAGAATCAAAGTTACAACGCAGAACACGAGTTTCCACCAACACAACATAACTCAACACCCACACTACTTAGAAACGAGCGGACTTCCCGGCCCCTTGCGGTGGCATTCAAGCCCCGCACATTCCATGAACACCAACTAGACATGATAAACATGAGGGGACGAGGAAGCCGTTCTCATACTCGGAGAACCCCCAGTCGCTATTTAGCACGTCTGAACACAACTACAGTAAAACCTTCATGCGCATCATATTGAGGCTCATCAAAACCCCCAAAAGGTGAAGAGAAATCACCCCTTCGCACCACTTGACCTGTGTCAGCCACATCCTCAATAACATCCTCACTAGACGCCAATGCAGCAAAACGATTTCCACCCACAATAGGTCGATCTGGTCCTAGATTTGAAACTGTATGCACCTTATCCAAAACCACAGGCTCCTTAGCCAGAACTAAAGGAACCGGCACTAGTGAATCCAAAGAATGCCCAGTAACCTTCGGAGCCTCAACCGACACCTGAGGAACCTTTGGAACCCACACATGCGTAGAAGTAACAGGACGAACTGCATCCAAGTGACAAAAAATACAACATCGAGAGCAACGTCGAGGCTTCAAGGCATACTCAACAGAAATAGAGAATACAACATCACGCACTCAGACTTTTACAGAAGTGGGAAAAGAAGACATATCCCTCATCTCAACACATACCCTAGCAAAGGAGAGCCTACTGCATTCCTCCGTAGCCTTGTCAAGCCAAAGCGGGGTCCCAAGCCCACTAGCAATAGTACTAAAACTTCGCGGGGTTCACATCTCGACTAGGATATTAGAAAAGCTAACCAAGACTGGTACAATATCAAAAGTAAAAGACCTAGGGACAATACCAGGCGTCCACCGAAGGAGAAGCGGCTTACCACCAATATGCCACGGGCCATTGAACAACACCCAATCACACAATGTGTCATGCAAGAACTAGAATAAAATAAGACCATTGTCGAGGAAAGTAATGTTAAGGACAACGGTACCCAGAGTACCCCACGTATCTCCACAATGGTATGATATTGTCCTCTTTGGACATAGCCCTCACGACTTTGCTTTTGGCTTCACCCAAAAGGCCTCATACCAATGGAGATAATTGTCCTCTCTTATATACCCATGATCATTCTCTTCCCTAGCCAATGTGGGACTTTGTTTGCAATCACCATACAAACCCAACAAGTAATAATCGGCTCCTCCACATTTGCCCAAATATGAGCTACCAACCGAGAAAGAGCTTAGTTGTGGTGAAATTTTGATTTTAAGAATTCTGCCACTACAAATATGACAAAATAATGGCATAAATGAAAATAAATTATGTCAGAAATGGGAAAAACAAAAATTTTCTGCTGGAAATACTTTTGACGAGAAATTCATGCGTAGATATTCTTCATTTGTTTAAATATAATTGTTTGACGAGAAATTCAATGAAGAGAAACTCGAATTAATGAACTTAATATGTATTTATATATTAAAATCTATAATATATGATCCTTTAACTAATTCTCTCAAACGTGAACTTTAGTCTTGTTGGTTTTGGATGTTGCACACTCTAAATGGATAGATAACTCACTTTGAATGGGTAGATGACTCTCTAAATGCTCTAAAATCAGTGAATCTCCAATGTTTCAAATGAGGTGACTCTTTCTATTTATAGAGTTTTCATCGAACGACCATGAGAAAAACATCTGACATAATTTGATTTGTAAATTTTAAAATTAATTTAGAACACGTGTAATTTTATGATTGGTATTAAATATAAGAGAATGGTCAACATTAACTTACCTCAGCCGTAATTAACATATATCTCTCACCAAGAAGTAATGAGTTGGAACATTTCTCCTCGATCACTTTGATGTACTAAAAAAAGAAAAAAAAAAGATTGAGAATGGATATAAAAGAATGAAATTAGTGGTGAGGTTGTTGCAATATATAATTAGAAGTTGAGATGTCAATCACCTACCCTCCTGCCCTGCCCTCCAATCCCACCTACCCCCAAAGGAACCGCAAGACGCGCAATTCCCAAATCCCAAATCCCCAAGTATAAAACATTTTCAGTTGACTCTCAATTCCCAATTCCCAATTCGTGAATCTGAAACAAATTTTGAATTCCATGGCTGTGAGCGACACCTTCTACATATCCCATGGATCTCCCACTCTCAGCATCGACGACACCATAGAAGCAAGGCAGTTCTTCCAATCCTGGAAGCAGAAGGTGTTCCCCCAGAAGCCCAAATCAATTCTCTGCATCTCCGCCCATTACGACACGTCGTTTCCAACCCTCAATGTCGTCTCCGGCCCCAACGACACCATCTATGACTTCTATGGCTTCCCCTCCTCCATGTACAAGGTAAGCAAATTTCTGTGTGTATTTATTATTTGGGTCATTTTGCTGGTATGAGAATCGATGGAAAACAGCTAAAATATCCGGCACCGGGAGCTCCGGCGCTGGCGAAGAGGGTGAAGGAGGCTCTGGTGGGGGCCGGGTTCGAGCGGGTGGAGGAGGAGCGGGGGCGAGGGCTGGATCACGGAGCCTGGGTTCCTCTGATGTTCATGTATCCAGAGGCAGACATCCCAGTTTGCCAACTCTCAGTTCAGTCCCGCAAGAACGGGACGTACCATTACAACTTGGGGAGAGCACTGGCTCCTCTCAAGGACGAAGGGGTTCTCATTGTTGCCTCCGGAAGCGCTACGCACAACCTCAGGACCCTCGACCGCGGCGCCAAATCCATCGCGCCATGGGCTCTCGAGTTCGATAATTGGCTCAAGGATGCTCTTCTTCAAGGAAGGTATACAAGTATTTTACTTTCAAGTTTAATCACTGAGCTTCAGAATCTGTAGTTGGAGAATTTTTGTTAGTTGGATTTATGTGATCCATTAGTGACTTTTAAATTTATTATTCATGTTACTTAGTCTTTAAGGTAGAAAATTTATTTAAAATCACTAATTTTTTGAACTATAAATCAAATACAATTTAGAGAGTATTGACCCTATATTGTATATATTTAAAATCTTTCGGTGGAATTAAACCAGCTATTAACGTAGTTGAAGTATGAAATTTAGGACCCTTGTTAGTTTAGCCAAATAGAATGCGCATGTGTTTGTTTGACAAGAATGGTTTGTTATTAGATACGAAGACGTGAACGAGTACGAGAAGAAGGCTCCACATGCAAAAATGGCACATCCGAGTCCAGATCACCTTTACCCGCTCCACGTCGCGATGGGGGCAGCGGGAGGCAATGCGAAAGCAAAGCTGATACACCATAGCTGGGACCTCGGCACCATGTCGTACGCGTCGTACCAGTTCACAGCCCCTTCCCCACCCCACCAATCACATTAACTCTTTGCTTTGGTGTATTAACTCTACTTTATGAACTCTTGTAATAATAAAATGAGGACCACATATTGATGTAATTATAATTATATGTGTTGTTGGATTATTTAATGACCTTGTTTATGCGAGAATAGTGTATATTTGCACTAATTTTTTCTTAAGTTGTGAGGAAAAGAACACTTACTGATCTTTTCACCAAATCGAACACCAGTGATTTAAGCTTCTTTCCGTCCAAACTGCTACTTCTGTTAGCATCTATTTGGAGGGGATAATAGTATTGGGTTTGTAACCTTTAGCAATATTTACTTTAGTATGTACTCTTTAGCCTATATATAGACTTTGTACCATTATTATTAAAGTATGGAGCATATCCCCTATTTTTCAATAGAAATTATGACACTAATTAGGAGTTAGTCTCGAGTTGAGCTGGATTGAATTTCAAGAGATTGTGCATCTTTAAAAAAGGTGTAACTTCCGTCTTTTATAAGAGAAAAGCATTGGGAGTTGTAGCTTTGCCTCTACAGCTGTCTTACACATTCTTTAATAAGTTTTCTATCGACAGTTAGAAGATCAAGCAAAATCATCATTCCTTCAAATTAAAGTTTTTTCTAACMGTTCAAAATGTCAGGAGTAACTTTTCCCAGTGAAATATTTGCATCAAAAATGTACAGTCGCATGGGATAAAGTCAGTATTGGTTTTTAAAAAATAATAATTTTTTTTTTTAAAAGAAAACTTAATTTTTATAAATTGGGTCAATTTCAATTCTTTTTAATCTATTACTATCAAACAAATTTCTTTATCTTAGAACAACATATGAGGTAGGAATCTAACTCACGATAATACTTTTTGGAGGATAAATTTGCTCACTGTACCCAAGTTTAACATCTGATGAAATTACTCAAAACTACACACAACTACAAACATTAACTCCACATATCATTTATAAAACAGCAGCATCCTAATAAGGAAATACTCAGCTCACAAAACACCCACATTATCCATAATCCATAATCCATAATATCCATATACTCATAATTACTATAATCAACAACAATAATGTGTTTGTTTTATCAGTTAACCCTACGGCAGTTGCGCCGCACTTGGCCTCTATAACCTTCCTTGACGTCAAGCAACCCCATCTTGATGATGGCTTGTTGGAAGTCTAAGAAGAACAGCGCCTGGTTCATGACGTAGGCACCGACGATGCCTCTCGTGCGGGGGCTGGCGAACAAGGCCTGGTCCGAGAACAGAACTCCAGCGCCTCTCGACAGCGCGTTGTAGTACACGTTGTCGAAACTGGCTGCCGTGGTGTCGAAGGGCTGGACTGCATTGTCCCCATTGCTGCATGTTCTTGCCAGTGTTCTCCCGAAGTTGGGACTCAGCAGCGGATCCTCGCCGTCCAGTCTGTCTTTGAATGAAACGCATCTTGCCACTCCCAATGTATGAGCCCCTGTAAAAAAAATTTTTGACCTTTCAGACTAAATTATTCGAAATATCATTATAGTATGCAGTTTGCACTTTTGAAGTTTGCTCGTTTGATCGTCAAGCTTTCAAGCAACTCTTTCAATTGAATTTGTAAAAATAAAAATAAAGGTGATGCAAAAATAGTTACTTTTAAAAAATACTATTTAAACCTTTTGTATTTTACTTTTCAACCATTTAATTTATTAATTACATACCTTAAATTAACATTTCCATTGTTTCAAAAAAAAAAAAACATTTCTATTAAAATTTGAACTTTTAAAATGTTTGGGGCAAAATGGTATCCTATCATTTGCAAGTAGTTTCAATTTTAATCCTCATGTAAAAAAAAAATAAAAAATAAAAAATAAAAAATAAAGTTTACTCCAACACTTTTTAATTGGTTAGGTATTTTAATGGAGATTGCCAATGGAGGTTCCTTTCAAACAAATTAAAAGATTTGGGGTCAGATTGGAAAAGTTTAGATGCAGACAAAATATATAGAAACCAACTACATGTAGATAAAGGGTATTTTTAATTTTTTTTTATTATGTTAAATTATCATTTCATGGTGGTTTCAAATTATAGCGGTAAGAATTTGAATTGGCGTGTGCTCCTTCATTCCGAGGTAGGAGGTTCGATCTCCTATATATCCCCAAATTGTTATACTCAAGAAAAATGTTGATAGTATCTTTACTTGATACATTTAGAAAAACATATATCTTAACATAAACGGTCATATATTAGTGATATCAGAGATGTTTGGAGAGATTTAAAAAAGTTATATGGACCAAATTGAAATTCTTTTAATTATATAAACTAAATTAAAATTAAATACAATCATATGAACAAAAAAACAATAATTTAAGTCGTGTTTGAACTATTTTATTTTTTATTTTCTGTTTTAAGAAATTAAGCTTATAAACACTATATCTACTCCTTTTTTTTTTAATCTAAGACAACACTTAAATCTAATTTCAAATTAGAAAAAATATATTTGAAAAAAATAATGAAAAGACATACTAAATAGTTGATAAGGAAATAAGTATAATTTTGAAAAATAGAAAATTAAAAACGAAATATTATTATGAGGAGTATAATTTTCATAAGCTTTTAACCTTTTATTTAGTTGAAGTGTTTTTTAGTTCAACAACATATACGATTAAAAATTCCAACTTTTAACTTTTTAGTTGAGAATTTACGTAGTTGATTACAACTTCTGAATTAAATTTGTATTTTCTACTGAACTATCCCAATTGTAATTGGTGCATGTCTTTGGCTAATAAGTTATGAGTTCAAATTTCCTATCCTCACCTGTTTTTTTTGTATTGTCAAATTTTGTATTTATTGGAAAAATTTAAACATCTCTTTTTTCAATACAACGACATAGAGGAGGTGAGATTCAAATTTAATTGAATAAAAGTTGGATGTATGTTAGGGTTACCTGAAAGTGCGACCATTTGCTGAACAGTAAAGCCACGTTGGGCGAAGGTGTTAATGAGCTGTGAAGCATTAAAGAAAGGAGAAGGCAAATTGGCCGTGTCTTCGATTCTTGACCTGCTTCCGTCCTTCCTTCCCTTTGGTATATCGTAGAATGGACCTCCCGCCTGTCCAAATCTTCTCCATTTTTAAGTCCGAACATGTTGGGTAGGGGATCAAATTAAAAAAAAGAGAGAGGGAAATGTTAAAAGGGTTACCCAAAAGACAGCATCTCTAGCAGCCATAGCCACAATGTCAGCACAAGAAACAACGCCTGGACATTGGCTCTCTAGCTGCTCCTTAATGCCGTCAATAAGCTCGTAACCTCGTAAGCTGAGGTTGGCAGGGGAGTCCTTTTCTGCCATGTTGTCTCGTGTCGAGTCAATCAACACCGATCCATCGCACCCCTGCATACCAACGATATTATCGTTTCAAGTTAGATATCTTATAAATGATTAAATTTACCTCAACTCATTAACTTAAGCTCTTGAGTTTTGAGTTCATTGGTGATTGAGAAAGAGAGTATGTTACCTCGACGAAGCAGTCATGGAAGTGCATTCGAATGAGGGCAGCAGCCAAAGTGGGATCGTTCTGAAGAGCTCGGTTCACAGTGTTCTTCACAATCGGATCCACAAAGGGGCAGCTCATCAAGTAATATCCCATGCTCAAACCATTTACACCTCCCAAATTACTCAACCTCAAACTAAAACCCACAAACAAAATAACACTAACTAAACTTATCGCCATTGCCAAGTAATGTAGGGAGCTTAAGGAGAGATGTGTTTGAAGTTTGTGTATTTATATATGGAGACTGTACTTCTAACTTTTAATTGAGAGACAGAGAAAGTGGGTTCGTCATATTGTCCACTCAAACAAGCCATGATAATAAATAATGATAATTATACAGCTTTTTGCATGTTGGTTTCTAACACCAAACACCAACATTTTTTTTTTTTTTAATTATCAAACCTGGATTCCAATTTCACATAAAATAATTGAACACTCCATGTCAACCCTCTACAAATATTTTGGATTCTTAATTACATTTATTCAAATGGTTGATGCATGCTAATTAGTACATAAACTCAAGAGAATGATTTCAATTATACAACAAATTTAATGGCTCCAATAGTTATAAAATCATTAGTATTTTTAATGAGTGGGAAATAAAGTTACTATGTTTGCAAAATTCAGTATTAGGGAACAATATTAACAAATATGACACCATTTTATTTTATTTCTGGTGGGAGTCATTCTCACCTTACGCGTGACATACGTCATATAGATGGTGAAAAGTACATGTGGCCTCTGTCTAGAATATTGAAGTTCCATTACCTAGGTCTCATGCATATGGCCGAGCCGATCTCTTGCGTGGCCCAGCCGATCAAGCTCACTCAAGACTCCTTCTCATCTATTAAGGTGAACTGTCTAGCTTCTCCTCGACTCAATTCCAGACTCCACGACAACGCGCCATGATTCACGACGACCTTAAAGAACCGTTGAGGCACTGTCGGGAAGATTGTCCGGGAAGTCGCCTATAAATAGACCCATTCACTCCATTTTCAAGGTACGTGAATACTAAATTATCTCTCGAGTTTAGTTCAGCCAGTTACTAACTTTAGGTCTTCGGTTTTGCAGGTCACCCTTCCAGCTCATCCTTCGAGCAGTCTTCGGTCTGAGTCGAGCTATCCAGACTTGATCATTTTCTTGATCAAACATTTGGCGTCATTTGTGAGAACGACTGGTTTCTCAAGCCATATCCTACCAAGAAACCGAACTAAGAAATGACAATTCCAACCCGCTCTCAACTCTCCTGCACCCCAGACCGCGAGCGCACTAGTCGAACTTATGCCCGTCGTATTTATTCCCAAGTCGTCAAGACCTCCAGGGACCAGCTCCCACCATTCTCGGCAAGCACAGAACGGATGAACAATCCCTAATTGGGGATCGAGCCGAGAACTTTCCGACGAACCCCCAGACGACCCAGAACCCTATGGTTCAGGAAAACAGGGAAGAGTTACCTCCACTCCCAACTCAACAGACCCAGCAGCAGGTCTATTTGATCAAAGAC